AAAAAGGTTTGAACTACACCCCCAAGAACCCCCCAGCAAGAATGCTGGAATTGAAAGCCCACACATCTTAAAGTTCCCAAGGTTGAGAAACACTGGAGGTTTCAACCCTTCTTTCCTTACTTGGGAGGAAAATCTCATCAGCAATAAACAAAATCAAACTTTATTCTGAAAAAGATAAAATAAAAAAATTACTTTTTAAACTTTAAATATTAAAATACAGATGGTCCCTTTTTAAGAATATAGCCATGGAGCTCTTCAGATTATGAGAAAAACAACAGCTTGACTTAAAATTCATCAAAGAATATGTTATACTCCCAGCAGCTGCTGGTCTACTCCAGAGGAAGATTCTGCCAGAATCCAAACAAAGAAAGTGAGGAAAATTTCAAATGTATTAATATAGATCAGAAAAAAAATCTACATTTAAAAAAAAAATCTTAATATCCAGCCCGAAGAATAGAAAGGCTGGGAATCCATGCAAATACCAAACTTGTACAGAGAAATTTATTAAATTAAATTTAATAAAGGAGACATCACACATATAAACACAGGAAAAAAGATCAAGCTAAATCTGAATTTTAAATCTATTTATTCAGAAATAACCTCACCTGAAGCATCTGTTCCTCAGCTTCAGTTTTCCTGGATTTCTCACTTAGATTCCTGAAGATTTCAGGGGTGTTTGGGAAGATAGTAAATCCCACCCTCAGTTCCCAGCCTTTTCTTCTGTCCTCTTCTCCAGTTCTGCCTTTGTTTAAAAGCAATCCCAATTTTCCTATCTCCAGCAGGGAGGGAGGGGTGTAGGTACACTATCTCTGTATGTGACTCAAAGCCATGCCTTCCTGGGAATGAAAGTTGACTGATTGGCATGAAGCTGGCACTCTGCAGTAATGGGAATGCAGGCGGACTAAGAACACTGGTATTCTTGGAAGTGTTACTGATTTCATCCAGTAATGTATATGTATTGACTTAATTGCTTAATTTTATAAAGTAAAATTTTGGGGATTTTGGGTTTTGCTGTTGCCTTTTGACTTGTTTAGGTGCTCAGTGGATAGTTTTTCATATTTTGTAAGCAGCTTTGGCAGACTCCTGTTTTGGAAATGAAAAGCAAGATAAATTTTTCTTAAATAAATGACTTACCTAGAAACACAAATGAAAAAAAAAAAGGACAATTTTAGAATGTTAATAGAAATCAGGAAGACGAAGTATGATCTTTTTTACTTGGTTCTTGGTCAATTTCAGGAGAAGTAGAAGTTTGAGAAAGAGCAAGCGAATCTCTGGGTGTTTGTCTGGGATAAAGATGAAATTGCACAATTCAGATGTATCAGGTATGTGTATTATAAAGCTCCGCCCTTCAAAAGTTGTCTTTAATCACTGTTTTTATTTTAGTGGCCTTCTGTGAAAGTCCTTGAAGTTTTATAAAAGTTTTTAAAACTTACATTTTATGTTTTCTTTGATATATTCTTCCCTCTTTCAAGTAATTTTTAAAAAATTATTTATTTGGCAGAGGGTAAACTTGGTTAAAAATAAGGAAATTCATACTAGTTATTGTGATGCTCAAATCTTCTTTTATCCTAGGGGCAACTGATACATTGGCCAGTCTGATCTCAGATCCTACCGAATCATTTGTACCAGGCATTTGTAAGGAACTGATAAGTTCAGCTTTGGATGTGCTGGGACAGGTTCATGAAGAAGAAAGCATGGCACAAAGTCTTTTAAAAACTTTGATTACAATATATACTAGAGTCACAGCTATGACAAAAGCGTATGAACAAGCTGAAGAAAATCCAGAGAACTGTAAGCTCTATTTATTAAACACAAATCAGGTTGTCTTAATTTAAACATAATGGGCTATAAATTTTCCCCAATTCCCTCTTTAACGCCTCTTTTCAAAACAATTTGCATTCTAATTGAGGATTTTATCTGTGTGTTTAGTTTTCACTGTTGATCAAGCTGCTCAATCCTGCAGCATTGCAATTACATCAGCTTTCCAACAGCTCGTTGTTCTGACTAATCAGTGGCTGAACAATTTCCAAAAAAATGATGAATTTGTAAAAAAATTTGATGAACTAAGGGAAGATGTAAAACATTTGGGAGGATATCTGCAATTGCTCTTCCAGGTAAGGGATCTCCTTGCAGGTGGCCTTTATAAATATCAGTACTGGAAGTACTGTTTATACATATCACCATATGTTACAGCTTAGATGCTGAACCAGCAATCTTAGTGTATGCTATTTTCACCATGCGAATTGGAATGAATGAGGAAAATTCAAATAGCAAACGCTTCCTCATGCTTTACCTGTATGTTTATCTTCCAGGGTGGCTGTGCAGACTTGTCATCAGTAGTAGCAGAGGCACAGAAGAAAATAATGCAAATATTGAAACACCTTGCTAAATACATAGGACATTTGGCAGCAGTGACTGGCTCAGATCTATGTTTTACAACTGAAAATAGAGGTGATGAAAGCAATGCAAAGGTAAAGTAAGGGTGTGTGTATTTATGTATATGTTTGTGCGTGCAGGTGTATAGAAAGTGAATGAATGATAATGGCTTGGTGCCAAGGTAACTGCCGGCTTTCCATCTTCAGCCAGAATTGACCTGGCCAATGCGCACGTCCCAGGAAAAACTACTGTAGGTCCCTCACTTCTGTTAAGGTTTGGGGGGGGCCGCTGACCCCAGCAGGTGGGTTTTTTGGTCTTGATTTGCCCCAACATTGATTGTGTTCTGGAAGCTGGTTAAGACAGGACTTTTCTCGAGGGCTTACTTGGATTAATGGGATGATGTGAATATGTAACTAGATTGGTGTATGTAAAGCCGGTTGTTTTAGAAAGGATGTTGGTTTTGGGTTTTTTCCTAATTATCACTTATTGTTTACCTCAGAGGTTTTATTTAGTCTTCCATGTATGTTTTATGATGTTGGACTACGTTGCCTACTGCTTTGATTGTGTCCTGTTCCAGGCCAACACACACACACGAAGAGGTGGTTGCAATGCTTTACTAGAAATGGCTGGTAAAGTAAACACGAGTGCAGACACACACATACACACGTAGTAAAGCAACAAGTCCCAGCGCTTAGCAAGCTTGCCTTCGCAAGTACAGTCCAAAGCAGCGGGCAGAGAGAGAGAGAGAGAGAGACCAAGTCTGAAGGTCAAAACTGGGTGGAAGTTTCGTCAGCCAGTCCAGGTCTAGAGTCGAGGTCTTAAGGTTTGCAGGTTCAAAATCAAGGTGCACGGAGCAGGGGTTAACAGATGGTTGCCGTCAACAGAGAAGTTGAACTTGCTGCTCCATTTTAATAAGCAGCCCTGGTGTAGTTCATTTAGCGGGGCGAGACTCCTTCCTCGCAAGTAATCTCGCAGAGTGCCTTTGCTCTACTCTCTTTGCAGCCCGCCAAGCTCTTGTATTGGGAGGGCGCAGTAATTCTGCTCCTTCATCTTTGGAGAGCAGGGACAGCTGTGTCTGCTGATTACTGGCCAGCCCCACCAGCCCCATCTCCTCTGCCTGCTCAGACGGCAGCCCGTCCGGTGCCTCTGGACCTGATGGCTCATTGTCTGTGGGCACTTCTGGAGCTAGCTGCTTGTCAGTCTCCTCCT